TTTTGTAAACCTTGCTCTCGGACTTTGTCAAACGAGATGGCTTCCCATAGTGAAGAAAAGCACTGCTCTTGGTTATTGTTGTTTTTGTTTGTTTATTTTAATTTTTTTATTTATTAATTTTAGAGAGAGAGGAAGGGAGAGGGAAAGAGATAGAAACATCCATGAGAGAGAACATCAATTGGCTGCCTCCTGCATGCCCCCCACTGGGGGCATGTGCCCTGACCAGGAATTGAACCAGTGACCTCTTGGTGCATGGGTCGATGCTCAACCACTGAGCCACACCAGCTGGGTGGTTATTGTTGTTTTTTTAAAGTGCAAAATAAAAATAGTAACAGAGAAAAATATATTCTACAACAATTAACAATTTTGCTATGTATTTGCATATATATGAATAATGCAGAAAACATTTTTTGTAGCTTTTTACTCTGATATCATTTCAAACTTATAGAAAAGTTGCAAGAATAACAAAAACGCTCATAATTAAATCAGAGACACAAATAATATGCTGCCTTATTTGCTTTCTTTATTCTCTCTCATACTCATTTACATTTACATTTACATAGCATTGCTTTTTCCCTGAACCACTGGGAATACACTGCAAACATCATACCCCTTTATTCCTAAATTCTCTAATGTCAAACTAAGGACATTCTCTTACATGACTGGGCAAAGAAAGGATGCTCAGCTTCTCTGATGGAATTAATAACCAAGAGAAACACTGAGCTTCCCTAACATTTCTTACTGAGGCACAAACTATGAGGATGGTTATGTATATCTTTCATAGTTTTTTTATTTTTTATTTTTTACATTTTTTTTTTTTTTTTATCCTCACCCGAGGACATTTTTCCATTTTTTGTTCAGGTAGAGTGGGAGGGAGAGAGAGGAACAGAGAGAGAGAGAGAAACATCGATGTGAAAGGGACACATCGAGTGGCTGCCACCCGCACAACCGACCAGGGCCAGGGACAAACTGCAACCGCAGTACGTGCCCTTAGCGGGAACCGAACCCGGGTCTCTCAGGACCGCAGGCCGACGCTCCAACCGCTGAGCCAAACCGGCCAGGGCTTTATTTTTTACTTTTTTATTGAATTTATTAGGGTGACATTGGTTAATAAAATTATGTAGGTTTCAGCCCTGGCCAGTATGACTCAGTTGATTGCATTCCAAAAGGTCATGGGTTTGATTCCTAGTCAGGTCACATAACTAGGTTTGGGTTCTGTCCCCAGTTGGGGTGCATATGAGAACTACTAATCTCTCTAATCTCTCTCTCTCTCTCTCTCTAATCTCTCTCTCTCTAGTCTCTCTCTCTCTCTCTCTTTCCTTTCTTTTCCTTTCTCCAATAAACATATCCTTAGTTGAGGATTTTTTTTAAAAAGTGTTAGCTCTTAACTCCCTTATTACTGCCCTAAACCTCTCCTTCCCAGAAAACAAAACCCATCACTCTTATCTTTTAACCTTGCCCTAAACCTCTCATTCCGAGAAACCAAAACCCATCACTCTTATCTTTTAACCTTGCCCTAAGGCTCTCATTCCAGAAAACTAAAACCCATCACTCCAGCCAGGAGGAACGGAGTGATGGAACCACCCTAACCCACCCAAAACTGCAAATGGTCGCTCGACAAGAAAAACAAGTTTCAGGAGACCCCAGCCCCTGACCAATCAAGAACTTGGGAGACCCCAGCCCCCAACCAATCAAGAACTGGGGAGACCCTGGGCCCTACCAATCAAAGACGACCACGTCTCCTCAGCTGAACGACCACCCCCCCAGCCCTGAGTTTAAAAATCCCTAGTCTGTACAAGCCGGTTGCTACTCTCTCCTTAGAGGTAGTCCGGCAGGCTATTCCCAATAAACCTGCACTTCTGGAGACCCTGCACCGCCTCGTTCCACCTCGTTCTTACGAAAAGTACATAGGTTTCAGGGGTACAATTCTATAACACATCACCTGTATGTTGTATTGTGTGTTCACCACCCCAATCTTTTACAGTTTCAACACTGAAGACCAAGAACTATATAAATCAGTGCCTGTTCTTGCTACATCCTGATAAAAATACACCTGAGAGGGGAAAAACAATTTAAATGTGTCTTTGAAATAAAAATACTTCGGGATTTGCTTTTCTAACAAAATCACCTTTGCAGTTAGATTTTGCTTTTCAACATGCCCAATTAATATTGATATTTAATTTCATTCAATCCACTATGCTAAAAAAAAGAGTGATCTGGAAATAATTAAACTAGAGTTTCAATCCAGTTTAATTATTTTCAGACCCTATCCCTAGACTCCCTGACACCAGGGGAGTCTCTCCCTTCCTCTCTCTCTAAAAGCAATAAAAACAAATTTTTTTAAAATGTCCATGTGACAGTAACTACAAGAATGCCAAGCATTTGAATCAAGTTTGTGTAATTATAAATAACCATAAATGGCAGAACAAAGATTTTTCTTTTCCTCCATAGAATAAGTTTCCTCCATAACCTTAAACTAGATTGAGTCTTGAGTTCATCTCAAGGTCAGTGGCGACAACTGACCTGTTCCAACAATTTTACCATACGTTTCCCTCATTGTCTGCCTTCTGTTTCTCTGCATTTCTCTTGGTCGCTTCCAGTCTGACCTTTTGTGATTGGTAACACAGTGACTATTTATTTTGGCAAATCACAACTATGGGGAAAGTACTGATAAAAATTCCCAAGTCTCCATTCATCAGAAAATCAATTAAAAATCAATAAAGAAATAAAGCACATGCCAGGCTGGTGTGGCTCGGTGGATTGAGTGTCGTCCCGTGGACTGAGAGATCTGGTTCAATTCCTGATCAGGGTGCATGCACGGGTTGCGGGCTTGATCCCCAGTCAGGTGCATGCAAAAGGCAGCCGATCCATGTTTCTTTCTCACATCGATGTTTCAACCTCTCTCTCCCTTCCTCTATCTCTAAACAAAAATCAGTTAAAAAAATTTTTTTTAAAAAGAGATAAAGCATAAAGAAAGTGTGGGTGGTATTCATAAATGGGGAGGACTTGAAATAGGATTCCGGGCACACAAAATAAACCAGAAGTCAGAGGTCACCTTTCCCACAGTGCCAACATGGTGGGGATTTGGGGGAGAGACTGACCTGGCCTCAGTCCAGCAGGGGGTGCTCTGCTTTCTTGTGTAAATGTAGCATAACACTTGCTCAAGCATAGGTGTACCTGGCTTCAGGTCAAAAGATGTACCTAGCCCTGGCCGAGTGGCTCAGTTGGTTAAACGTCATCCCAATATACCAAGGTTTCGGGTTCAATCTTCAGGCAGAACACATACAAGAATAAACCAATGAATGCATAAATAAGTGGAGCAAATCAATCTCTCTTCCTCTCTCTTTCTCTCTCTCTCTCTCTCTCTCTCTCTCTCCCCCTCCCTTCCTCTCTATCTCTAAAGATATACCTAAAACACATGCAAATCTCTTTCTAGAGATCATTTTGATTTTTTTTAAAGTATTTTAAGGTAAGTATTATCTTACAACAAATTTACTATATGACAGGCATTATTCCATATGTTTTTAAGTATATTAACACATCTGCCATCTCAATAATATTGTAAAATGGGTACTATTATTCCCATTTTGTAGATGAAGAATCTGAGATGCACAGAACACAGGAACTTGCCCAAATCCACATGGCTATTAAGTCCAGGCTCAGCATAGAATTTCTGTAAAAAAACAGGAAGTGAATATTTTAGTCTTGAGCCATGCAGTCTCTGTCACAACCACCCAGCCCTACCTTTGTGGAGCAACAGTCACCAAAGACAATACATAAATGAATGGGTATGTTTGTGTTCCAACAAAATTTGATTACAGGAACTCAAATTTTAATTTCATATAATTTGCATATGAAGTGAAATAGTCATCCTTTTGATTTTTCAACCATTTAAAAATCTAAAAAGCATTCTTTTTTTTTTAAAGGATATGCATTTTATTTATCATTATTATTATATCTTAATGCTTACCCGAGGACATGCTTAGAGAGAGAGAAATATCAATTAACACAGGATCAAACTGATTCAGCAACTTTTCAGTGCACAGGACTACACTCAACTAACTGAGCCACTCCGGCCGGGCTAAAAAAGTATTCTTAACTCTCAGGTTGTATCAAGTGTCAGCAGGCTGGGTTTGGCTCTTGAGCTGCAGTTTCCTGCAGTAAGTGGTAGTGTCAAGACTCAAACTTAAGCAATATGGTTCCAGTAAGCTCTTAACCTGTGTGTGTGTGTGTGTGTGTGTGTGTGTGTGTGTGTGTGTGCATGCGCACATGTGGACATACAGGCTATATCATGACAATAGTCATGAAGTGTTCTTTATTGAAAACACAGCAAAGTACATAGGAGAAACTAAAAATCATCCATAAAACCATAACTCAGAAATAACCACTAATAATATTTGATAGTTTCTTCTATTTTTTTGTCCACTGTACACAGTATTCAATTTATTAATTCTAGTGTTTCACTTACCATAAAGCATTTTCTACATGTCCACATAGGCCACACAATGATCATAATTAATAGATACATAAAAGTTCATTTTAAATGCATTATTTTGAAAGAATCCTACAACTAATAATTACACGAAGCAAAGAATCTTGTATTAAGTGAGCAGTTGGTCACGTTTCATTGATCTGCCACATATTTGCATTTCTAGGAGTCGGATTTTTAAAAGCAACCCAGTCTACAGACAGGGATGAGGGAAAAGGCTTTGGATTTGGCTTCTCTTTGTGCCTTTATTAGACAAATGATCCTGAATATATTGTTAACCTTCCACACCTCAGTTTTGCCATGTTCTGAAAATAAGCCAAGACCACTGCATATAAAGTACTGAGCATCTCCCCAGCACAGCATGGTGGCCCCTTGGTTGCAGCCCTCATGGTCCCTGGTCTCCAGCACCACCCACAGGAAATCCATTATTTCACTCATGGGTGTCAAGAGAGTGTCCTTTTCTGTTTTGTTCAGGACATGAGTTTGTTCCTTGGAGTGAAAATGGGCTGGCAGTCATGGGCAAATAGGAAGGATTAATGAGGTGGGTGGACCTGAATTAAAAACTTCCACCACACCCACCTTTCCTGCCCCGCCCCAATGAGGAGATTATTCTGGAAATGTTCAAACTGAAGCAGTGCCCAGGTTTCTACAACAGCAGGTGGCATTCTGACATCAGGAGAGGCTGTGTTCGTTCCCCCAGGGACAAAGGACCTCCAGACCAGACATCTGAAAGGACTTAGAGACCAGCCCATGGAGCTGAAAAATGTGACTGCCTCTGAGGCCGAAGGCTACAGAAACACTGGCTTCCAGGTGAGCAGAAGTTTCTTCTGTTTTTAAGACCAAGAATTATGCAAACAATCCTCTTTCCTTGCCTCCTTATCAAGTTTCTGGACTAAACAGTGCAATTATTGGAACCCAGAAAGATTTTCAACAGCACTCTTTAAGTCCACTGTTCTTCCTTCTTGGGTTGTCAAACTTGAAAAGTCTCTTTTAACTGAAACCTATTTTGATCCCTGACTGGCCTTGTCACTTAGAAACATGACTATCTTCTCCTGCTATTGTCTCAACGGCTCCGGGCCCGGATACAGTATTTACTTGCAGACCAGTGAGAGAAAGGATAGGGAAAACCTCAGAACCTGAATGTAGTTCATACCTCGGGGTTTCTTTCTCTTAAACTGGGTCCCAGAGTCTCTGTCAGACGGTGGCCTGGATGCCTACACCAGTGCAGCTGGGTTATGCAAACCAGTTTCAGGTCATCAACCAAAACTCACTGAGTGATTAATGCTGCTCGGTCCAGGGTTGGGTGCCACAGAGCTCCAGGAATCCCATCGCTGGGAAACACCAGGCTGTTCCGACTGGATCTGGCCTGGGGATTTTTCAGGGCTCTTCCTAGGTGTGTTTCCTTTCCTGTGCTGACATTCAACTTGGGAGCCTGCAATTCCTTGGACTTCAGAGTCACTAAACAGGCAAAACAAACTTTCAGGCACTAGCCAAAAAGGAACAAGGAAAGTAAAAAAGCCTTGAACTGAGTTCTGGCTCTTTCACTCACAAATTATTAAAACTTCCCCAAGCCTTAGTCCACTTGCCTGCACAGTGGTCACAGTGATGCTCATTCCACAGGTTATAAGTACAGTGGGAGGGAAAAAATTTTTTTCTACCCTCTTATATGCAATGCCTGAGGTCTGTAAATTAAACTGATAAATGATAGATTTTTTTAAAAAAGCATACAAATTTTATTAATATTTTTTTCTTTATTGATTTTTGAGAGAGAGGAAGGGAGAGGGAGAGAGAGAGAGAAATATCGATGAGAGAGAACATCAGTTGGCCGCCTCCTGCATGATCCCCACTGGGGACTGGGCCCACAACCTGAGCATTTGCCCTGACCAGGAATTGACCTCTCGGTGCATGGGTCGACGCTCAACCACTGAACCACACCAGCCAGGCCAAATTTTATTAATATTTTTAATTTTACCTGTACTGGGCTTTATAGAAAAGTAAAAAACTCACAGAAGCAGTAGGACTCAGGGACTTAAATACCATTTTAACAAAGAACAAGTAAATGTGAATAAGTGACTGAACAAAGGAAAGAGAGGTTGGGGTGTAGGGCCAATAAATTGTCTAAAACTGACTGGGAAATATATGGGGGAACTAAGAGAAGATAAAATTTGTTAGTGAGACTTGTGTATGCAGTCTTACCTCAGTGTCATCTCTCTTTCCAGGGGTAAGGATTCTTTACCTCTTTCTGGGAGAGGGGCACACATGCAGCAGGAAAATTTATGACCTGTTTTAGGGCACAGAGAGGAATAAAAAAGAGCTCTTTCTGTGTCTGCTTTTAGTCAATTACCTTTAGCTCGAAAAATTCTTTTTTTTGGTATGTGCCCCTAGTGGGAACCGAACTCGAGACTCTGGTCTGCAGGCCGACGCTCCAACAGCTGAGCTAAATTGGCCAGAGCCAAAGTGATGTATTTTGGTGTGGCATGTCTTTATCACCTTCCTAAGGATTAAATCAGAAGAAAAAGCATAAAGCAGAGGGCCTATTATGATCCAAGAGAATTAAAAGGATGGAATGGAGTAAAGAGGTCAAGTGAATTTGGCAGCAAGACAAAGGTGTCTGCTAAAGAGAAAGGTCCATGTCATGAGCAACTGGCTGCTCAGTCAGTGAGGAGGACACATCAACCGTGGCCCTGTTTTCTTCCTTCCTTTCTTTCTTTTTTTTTTTTATTTGTGCCAATGACCATATGCTCTGTTCTGTATCCCTTATGCTCTTCTATCAAAGAGAGCATCTCCTGGCCTCAGGGTGCAGAGTAGGGCATCTCAAACCCAGCATAGCACTGCACACCAACACCAATCAATGGTGACCAGGTTATTTCTTCCAATGTTTGCTTTTCAACTAGAATTGCCAGAGACATGTCTTCACTCAGCAAAACCATGAACTACTCTCCAGATATGGCCATCCCTAAGAAGAGATTCCCAATTCAAGAAAGAATAATATATTATTCTGGTCCTCAAGGAACAGGGCAGGCAGAAACAAATAAACAATTGTAATTATAATATAATGTGATACAAAACAAAAACAAAAAATTAGCCCTGGCCAGTTTGGCTCAGCTGTTAGAGCATCGGCCTGTGGTCCGGAGAGACCCGGGTTTGGTTCCCGCTAAGGGCATGTACTTCGGTTGCAGTTTGTCCTCGGCCCTGGTTGGTCGTGCAGGTGGCAGTCACTCGATGTATCCCTTTCACATCAATGTTTCTCTCTCTCTCTCTTCCTCTCTCTCCCTCCCACTCTATCTGTACAAAAAAATAGAAAAATGTCCTCGGGTGAGGATGAAAAAAAAATTACTTTGGTTGGCACCAAATACCTTGTAAGTAAATGTAGATGGAGTTTGGCTGACTGTGAATCTGTCACAGCATCACAGAGGGAGAGAGAACATCAGGTAGGGCTTAAAGGATAGGCAGGGATTGCCCAGTTGAAAGGGAGGGATGTCAACAGAACATTGCAAGCAAAAAGAACTGTCTGTGCACAGGCCCAGAGCCTGGAAGAGCATGTGTGAGGATGGGGAGTAAGGAAACAGGGCCAGCTTGCATCAGATCATATGGCCTCTATGTTTGCTAAGGCATTTGAGAAGGAATGGATCAGAATTAACACTGTCAAATTATTACTTCTTAAAGAGTACTCTGCTGTTCCTGTTGAAGGTGAACAGAAGTAGAAAGAGATGGTTAGAGACAGTGGAAACCAATGTTGGGTGGGGAAGTCTGACTGCTGATAAGAGGGCCTACAATACTAAAATTGGTGGGAGTCTGGAATAAGAACTGCTGGCTCTGAAGATTTCCGTTTTTTCCTCTGTAACAAAGGATAGTAATATCCTATGGAGGGTTGTTGAGAGAATTAAGGGAGCTAATGTAAGTTAACAAAATGTATGTCATATACGTAAAACAAAATAACAATTCTGTCTTTTTTCCATTTGAGCTATATAACAGAATATCACAGACTTATAAACAGAAATTCATTTTTCACAGTTCTGAAGTCCAAAATTAAGCCACCAGCATGTTCTGGGTCTGGTGAGGACATGCTAATACTGAAGTCAAATTTGGCTGACTGCCACTTGGAAAGTCAATACTTGAGAGACAGATGCTGATGGAAAGAAAGATACGGTTTATTCAAGTGCCAGCAGCCTGAAAAGAGGGTAGACTCCCATTCCAAAGACCATCTTAACATCTCAGTACACACAGGTGTTTTTATTAGGAGGAAGAGGGAAAACAAAACAAAGAAATCAGGGGGTGGGAGTTGAAAGTTCTCTATGTGTAAGCCAGCACAGACCATTCTGATGATTATCTCAAAACTGGTCAAGCAGAGATCCAATTTTTATGGCTGAGAGTCAACAAGTCTCCTGGAGCCAAAATGTCCAGTTGCTGGAGTCAGCCTCCTCCCCTGAAGCTAGTTCCTGGACTAATATATACCTGGTGGATGAGTGACCTATATGTGTCGCTCATCCACCAGGTACATATTAGTTAACAATTCATCTTTAACAAAAAACACTTTTAACAGAAACAATATTAAAAGAATAGAGGATTGCCTGGCCAGTGTGGCTCAGTGGTTGAGTGTCAACCCATGCACCAAGAGGTCACTAGTTCAATTCCCAGTCAGGACACATGCCCAAGTCGTGGGCCAAATCCCTAGTGCAAGGCATACAGGAGGCGACCAATCAATGTTCTCTCTCACCAATGTTTCTGTCTCGCTCTCTCCCTCTCCCTTCCTCTCTCTCTCTAAAATCAATAAAGGGAAAAAATTTTTTTTAAAAAAAGAATGAATGATTGGGTCACACCATCTCCTCAGAGACAGCTATCTTCTCACTGTGTCCTCACATGGAAGAAGATGCAACGAGAGCTCTTTGGGGGTCTCTTTTATAAGACTAATATAAAAGAGATTTTTTATAATTTATAATAGACTAATTCTCTTCATGAAGGCTCTGCCCTCATGACGTAATCACCTCCCAAAGTGTCCACCTCCTAATATCATCACATCGGATTTGGGGGGGGCCAGAAATATTGGACCATAGTAAGTGCTTAGTGCACACAATGAATGTAGTAACAGTAGCCCTTGGTGCTAGGGCAGGTTAAGGAGGGTGGTGAGATGTCAACTTGGAAGTTTATTTAGACAGGAAATCCAGGAGTAGGGATGGAGCAAGGAAGAGAGTTAGTTCGTTTTGAGGCCTGTTGGTTGAAATTCAGGTGATTTCATATATCCAGATAAAGATGGAGATGAAGCAGGACCTGTACACATATCTGCACCTGGCAACTAGATAGTGGGATCATCCTTCTGGGAGCCATTATCACAGAGATGGACCACAGGTGCGATGAGAGCATGTGGAGGGAAAGCTGGGAAGCAGCATTGTTGAAGGAGTGGGAAAACTAGCGAAGTCAGAGGGAAGAATCGGGGAGCCAGGGGGAAAGAGAGATACCAGGTCAACAGCAAAACCTCCTGTGGAGAACAGAGGAGTGCATAGAATGAGGTAAAGTCATTAGATTTGCCAATTATTGGTGACCCTAGAGAAGGGGTGAGGAGCACTTTATGTTATAAGTGGGAGTTAAGAGACTGGACACAATGAGGGAAGAAGGGACATTCCTTCAGCTGAGAGAACAAGGAAGGGAAGAGAGAGAGTTGGGGTTGTAGGCAAGGAGCTTTTTTATTTAGAAATATTTTCATTGTGATATATGACATGCAGAAAAACACAGAGAACCAAATATACAACTTATTATAAAGTGCCACCCAGGTTAAGAAACAGGATATTGCCATCCCTCAGCTCAGAGGCCCC